CATGAGAATTTTCTTTGTGAAGACCACTATTTCAAATATGTACATGCATGGTAGAGGAAGAATCCTTAGTTTATTAAAAAGGGTTTGCAAGACTCCAGCTTATGAGTGCTGGTCATTGTTCGCAGTTTTCTTTTTTGGATAATAAATGTGCGAGTGCTTTCACGGGCATTACCCCAGAATATTATTCCATATTTTAGGTGTGAATTCACAATTGCAAAATACATTGTTCGAAGTGTCTCAATGTTGGAGCTTGACCTGAGGGTGTATAGGGCATAGCAAGATTTGCTGAGCTTCTTGTTAAGATTTGAGATGTGAGTGTTCCATTTTAGGTTTTCTTGAATTGTTAGTCCGAGGAAGGTAGTTTCATGAGATATCGTTACAGGGTTATTGTTTATTAGGAGGGAGAGACAGAGACAGAGAGAGGGGGAGGGGGAGGGAGAGGGAGAGAGAGAAGGTAAGAGAGAGAGAGAGATACATATTCCAAGTTTCACGAAACTTTTTAATCAAATGAAAAGAAGCAATTGCTTATGAGAATTGATAGTTCCTACTTGTACTAGTGAGTAATTGCTCTGGAGTACTTTTTTTTCATGTCTCTTTATGTGTGTGCGCGTGATATATATGATTCAAAATCTTTAATCATTGCACTCAGTAATGAACAATTTTCTCAAAATTAACTAACTCTAAAGAAAACGTAGAGCATTATATTTACATCACGGGTCAATTGACAAAATGGTTTCGTTTACATTCACGAAATATTTATATTCAGACAATTAAGTGATATCAAAAAACACATAATAATAATATCCTAATAATAGGATTGTAATATGACTTAAATAATATTATAGAAGAGTAAAACTTGGCTCTACATGACATTTTCACTGAAACCTTTGAAGCCATTGTTGGGAAAATGTCTTTTGAGCGTTTTTGAAAATGCTCAATTTGGATGTCATTTCAACTTTTGAGTTTTCAAGAAAATTCATTAGAAATCATTAAAACATTCTACTCACAAATGCAATAATGTATTAAAACGCTCGTGGTGAAAATTTGAATGACGTGAGAGATATTACAAGAAGATTACATTTATATAAATTTTGAAAAACTAATAGAATACATCAAAATGGCACTTGTTATTCAATGTGTTTGGCTTTATCCGCACACAGTTTAAAAAAATTGGAGTCGTTTTTGAAAAATTCTCCAATATGTTTTTAATATTACCCTATTTTACTCAAAACCCTGTCATAAGCGTGTCCCTACGGTCTTTAACCGACCTAAAGACATGAATTGCGGTGCTGAATGGTGGGTGTGAAAATGGTTTTGATGTTGTGGTGCTTCAAAATCTTGCCATTACGGTCCGTATTGTTCTTCATAAACGGCAGTGTGACCTTGTGCATGTTACCTTCGGGAGGACTGTGTGCTGTGTTGTTAGGTCGTAGTGCTCTCTTCACCTCTTGGATTGAATATCCATTGGCTTGAAGAGCATTTTCCAGATGGCTGAGTTCTTGGTGAATGTTGTCTTCACATATCCGTCTGGCGCGGTGGACGAGTGTCTTCATCATAGCTCTCTTCTGGCCGGGGTGGTGGTTCGATAGTATGTTAAGATAGTTCGATAGTTTGTTGTCCGTGTGGGTAGGTTTTCGGACAACTGTGTGGCCGAGGGATCCGTCTTCTTTCTTGTTTACAAGCACGTCCAGAAATGGTATTTTTCCATTACGTTCCTTCTCAATGGTAAACTGTATGCGGGGGTGAATGGAATTGAGGTGTCGAAGAAAATCTTCTAGCGCTTCTTCTCCGTGGCTCCAAATAACGAAAGTATCATCGACGTACCGCAACCAACAACTGGATTTGAGTGGCGCAGTGTTTAGCGCTGTGGCCTCGAAGCTCTCCATGTATAAATTGGCTACAATAGGACTCAACGGGTTTCCCATAGCTACTCCATCATTCGGCTCGTAAAACTCACCATTCCATACAAAGTATGTAGTAGTTAGCACGTGATGGAAAAGTTATGTGATGTCCTCCGGGAATAACCCCTGCAGCAAAGCTAATGTTTCTGTAACCGGTACCGTGATGAATAATAATACTACATCGAAGCTGACGAGCAGATCGTTTGGCTGCAGGGTCAGTGCCTTCAGTTATTCGACGAAATGTGACGAGTCCTTGATGTAGGAGTTTGTTTTGCCGATGTGTGGTTGGAGCAAGTTGCATAAGTACTTGGATACGGAGTACGTAGGAGATCCAATAGCGATGACAATGGACCGTAAGGGAACTTCTGGTTTGTGGATTTTTGGTAAACCGTAAAGTCTGGGTGCAGCTGCCTCCGATTTCTTGATGGAACATTGCGTTTCGGCTGGAATACTTGAATTTTCGGGAAGCTGGTTGGTGCGGCGGAGTATGCGTGACGTAGGGTCACGTGGAAGCTTGCTGTAGATGTTAGGATCCAGGATATTCTTTATCTTGTTTTTGAGGTCAATTTTGTTTAGAACTACAGTGGCATTGCCTTTATCTGCTGCAAGAATGACGATATTATCGTTGCTGTTTAAATTTCTTAGGGCAGCTCTCTCCGTTCTGGGAAGATTGCTTTTAGGGGGTTTCGCCTTTTGAAGAATTCTGGAAGACTCTCTTCTAATTGCCTCCGCTATGTCTGTCGGCAATGATCGTATTCCGGAGATTCTGGAGAGAATGTCTTCTATGGGCACTTTCGAGGGGCTCACAGCGAAGTTGCCTCCCTTAGTGAGAATCGCAGTTTCTTCCGGAGTCAGTTGACGGTCCGACAAATTGACCACTGTCCGCTGTAGTTTAAGTGGCCGGCATTTCCTTCTTTTCCGTAAGCTGGTCGTATTTTCGAATTTGTTTACTGGAAATGTGTGTTTCCAGGTAGTCATCGAACTGTAGCTCAATGATGTTGCGCTCAATGTAATCCCAATCTTTCGACCGGTTGAAATTTGCACAAGAATGCAGCGAGGCTATAAAAGAAGTTCAGTGTTTAATGCCAACATGCTGGCGGCAATAAGATAAAGCGGCTTTATTTACAGATGGGGGTGGTGTTATATGTTTAGGACTTAGCCTTTTAGAAATGAATTGGAACTTATTTGATAATCTTTTTTTTTTTTTTTTTTTTTTTTTTTTTTTTTTTTTTTTTTTTTTTTTTTTTTTTTTTTTTTGTCTGCATTGCTAGGTATACAACATACATATTTTCACTGAATGAAAGGTCACTTATTTATACATACTTCAGCATTTCACCAGCAATACCTTACATATTATAGTCTTTCACAATTTCAAAGAGTATAAAGCAATACAGTAGAACGTTCATTATCCAGTTTTCTTTGTTAAAAAAAAATAAAATAGTTTCAGATTTTGGTGACACATTTTGTGAGTTCAAAATTAAACAAGGGTTTCCAGCACTTAAGAATTTATTTTATATTTTTATGTAATAAAAAAACATTGCTGTTTCTCAGCTGTAGAACATTAAAGGGTTCATTTTTTTGAAATTTTTATTATATGAGATGAGTTTAGCCACAGATACAAGTTTATAAAAATTTTTGAAATAAAAACACGCAATCATATTATTATAAACTTTAAAGTTTAATTTTCCTGCGCTGCATTTGGGGTGGTGTCAATATATAACAAGAGGTTATAAATTAACTTAATGTTCCTTAATATTGTACAATATTAGTAATTTAATTAATTTATTAGTATTAGAATTATTTATCAACTGTGAATAATTTACTATTACTAACTGAAAAAGAAATAGAAATCTGAATACAGATCGAAATAAGGGTTTTTGCCAAGAATTGATATTATTCAAAAAGCTAATGCACATAGTTTTGAAAACCTTGCACTGCATAGCTCACTTCTGTATAATTTGTTACAAATACCGTAACAGTCATATTTATTCCCGATTTTCCATTTGTCAAGAAATTATTGCTGCTGTTGACTATTTAAATGAATGCAGATACACAACTCAGGTGCTTTGTTTGAATTAGTTGAATTTCGACGTTTTCAAGTAGTAGCTGAGGTGATCATGGCACTGAAATTACAATATTTCAACGTAGCAGTTTCCAATAATGTGAGAATGTAAGTGTTGTTGTGACACATTTAGTTTAATACAAAGCTAATAAGCCAATTTCAGAGATTTATTTCTACATATTTCTAAATTTCGCATTATAATACTGTACAGTTCTCAGGGTACCAATTGTATCAAGAGTATCAGCAATCTCAATCGTCCAAATAATTGGAATGACAAACAATGAAAAACATTTTCATATTTTTATGCTTCATTCATAATGTGCAATAGGACAAACAAAAACATAACTCATGTAGAATTTTATCAAGGAGAAAGATTTAGAAACCAATGTTTTCTAATTATATTCATAAATGATCTCCAATGACACTACCAAAAACATAAATCAAGAAGATTTTTAAAATGTCTTTTTCTAAATAAATAAAATAAAATTATATGAAGCAAAAAAGATCATACATCAATCAGTAATGTCACAAAGGTAAAATCTACATAATTCGACAGAAACAAATGAGTTGTAATCTCATTAATAATAATAATAATAATAATAATAATAATAATAATAATAATAATAATAATAATAATATTTTATATATTATTTACCCTCATGCCGAGGTTCCTGATAATATTTTTAATTATAAGATAATCTATGGAAATTTCCTGAAATAATACCATCTTGAGTCAGTACAATTCGAATAGAGAGTGGGAAATATATAATTTTTCTCGTTTCACGTAGATGTCGGCCTTGTGCAATTTCTCTGCATTTCAATTACTCGTTGCTATTGTGTGTTGTAAACTCTTCGACACTTTCATAAAATTGTAAACAGTCAAGATGGCGAATCGCACAGTGAAGGATGCGAAATCCGTGCGCGGTACAAATCCACAGTATTTGGTGGAAAAGATTATTCGTTCGAGAATTTACGACTGTAAATACTGGAAAGAAGAATGCTTCGCTCTCAGTGCAGAATTATTGGTTGATAAAGCTATGGAACTTCGGTACATTGGTGGTGTGTACGGAGGGAACATTAAACCCACACCATTCCTCTGCCTGGTGTTGAAAATGTTGCAGATACAGCCAGAAAAGGACATTGTTGTTGAATTTATTAAGAACGAAGAATTTAAATATGTTCGTGCTCTTGGTGCTTTGTATATGAGGTTAGTAGGCACTTCTTTAGATTGCTACAAATATTTGGAACCGCTGTTCAACGACAGCAGGAAGTTACGCCGGCAGAATAGGAGCGGCAGTTTTGAACTTGTACATATGGACGAATTTATTGATGAATTATTGCGTGAAGAACGAATGTGTGATATAATACTCCCACGTATTCAGAAACGACATGTTTTGGAAGAAAATAATGAACTCGAAGCTAAAGTGTCTGCGTTGGAAGATGATTTAGAAGAAGGTATGGAATCATCCGGAGATGAAGACGATGCACCGGTGAAAGCTCCTGAACCTCCACCTGCCCCAGTAGATAACCACTGGCCAACATCTCGGAGCGGGGGTGGTGGAGGCGGGGGAGGAGGTGCCGGTGGTGGAGGAGGGCGTGAAGAAAAGACGAGACGCCCATCGCCCCCGCGTCGCCGCAGCCCATCTCGAGACCGAGACAGGGATCGAGCTCGGGAGCGTGACAGGGATCGGCGCCGCAGCCGGGAGCGTGATCGACGAGGCACAGAACGAGACGTTAAAAAGGCCCGTCGGAGCCGCAGTCGTGATCGACGGCACCGTTCAAAATCCCCCATCGTGGCAAGCGGACGACGTGATCGTGATCGTGACAGGGATCATCGAACAACACGGGATAACAGGGATACAAGAGACACCCGTGACAACAGAGATATGCGAGATGGCAGAGACAACCGTGACATGCGCGACAGAGACAGAGATAATAGAGATACCAGAGATAGTCGAGATACCAGGGATAATAGGGACAATCGTGATACCCGTGACAATAGGGATAATCGTGATAACAGGGACAGCAGAGACATGCGTGATAGTCGAGACAATAGGGATTCGGACAGGCGTCGTGACAGAGATGTTGATAGAGGGCGAGCTCGCTATTAGGAAGAAATTGGTTTGTACACGAATTTCTTAAATGAAAAGTTCCAGGATGGCTTTGTCATGCAAAACAAGTCAATTTTTTATGATTGTTATTAATTTGTCAGAAAACAAGCAGAAGTGTTTTTTTGTATTGCTTACATAACAATCAAAAAGTAATTGTTTTTCCCAAGAAAATGAGTGTCAAGAATTTTTTTGTAATCGCAAATATTTATAATAAAAATAATTGTTTATTAAATTTATATAGCTGAAAACCAAATTTGCTGTATTTTCTTCTCATCTTAATATCTTACATCTTAAAATGAAAATAATGAATCATTTTGCAACCACAATTTATTATTGTTCTTGCCAAGTTACGGAAATTAATGTTATAATGTAAAGAACACCACAAATACCAAGGAGGATTCACATTCCAGTTGCCATTAGACTTTTCACAACATTGTAACCGCTATATGATTTCAGACTAATATTTGCTTGCATAATTTGTGACTGCCATATTAATGCATGTGTCAGAAAATAAATTCTGAAAGCAAAGAAACTGCAATAGCATTAATCTACAGTATTAACATTCACACTATATGTACATGAACTACCTTACTAACCTGTGATTTACTTACAGTGATTTCTGACATTTGATCTACTGTATGCAGTTATCCAATCGGGAGCTTCATTACAACTTAATTGTTTTGAACCTCCCAGTTGGATATCCACATCCCAAGTGATTGAATGTCAGAAGTCATTAGAATTAAATAATGTACAAGAGATTATGTTAGTACTAGCTTTTTAGTATCATTAGGCAAATCGTTTAGAAAATTAAAATTATATTTCCAGAAGTAAGTTTTCAGATGCTTGCTTTGTTGTTTTCTGCAGAATTATTCAGAGAATACAAAACATCTTTCTAAATTCTTGTTATGGTATGTATGTAAAAGTTAACTTACGGTTTTAAAAGTGTGTAGCATAAAAAGTATAGTGCAACTATAAACCCTAATTTATTTCATTGTTCATGGCAACATAAATTATATTGTGCTCTGTAACAGATTATTATATCATTGAACTTACATGAAAATGGATTGGTTCCCTTTGTACCAATCTTGTAATAACCAGTTGTGATTAGCCTACATGCAATCTTTGAAAATTATAACTCAAACTTCTTGCTTCTACTTATATAGTGGATATAGATAAAACAATGTACAGCACTCCATGGTATAAATAGATTCCTTTTATGAATAATACTACTTGCTTCCCTTGGTGACCACCTTTCTTACAGTGAATAAATCTTGTTTGGCTCTTGGTACCTCAAATTACTATTAATTGAAAGAAGTTTCACATCGATGTGAAATAAGGTTGCCTTTAAATTTCAAAGTTATTTGGTTGAACTATTGTGTATATATGTAAGAAGAATATATTTACTAGTGTATTTAGATATCTATGGAATGTTTGTATTTGAGTAATATTTGGGTTGAATGGTAAAGGTATACTGTACACAATGGTAAAGGTTGAATGAGTAATATTTGTCAAAAGTGACTTACTTAACAGTGGGAACATACTTTCATGCAATACTGATATTTATAATTATAACACACGTCGTAAAAATCATGTTCAAGTGTTAGTATCAACAGCTCACTATCAGAAATCCACATACAATACATGTACGTTACTTTACAACACACTGCCAGATGACATTAAACAAGTGAAGTCGGTTCACAAATTTAAGTTAAATGTAAAATCTTTTCTGCTGCATAACTGTTTCTGTACAAGTAAAGACTATACTGATTATCAAAAAGAAAAATAATGTTTATTTTAACAAAACAGTGATATATAATGAATTAGTTTACATTTGTATTATATAATTTTTTTAAAAGACTTAATATGTTTGTAACAAATAATATACTTCAGCTTCCGGGTTAATGACCCCCATCTCAATCTGGTTTTTGTCCAGTTTTTCTGATCCATTGAGCAAATGCTGAGATGGCCCCTCGTTTTGCTTCTGGACGTAAATGTAGCTTTACTATATGCACATTTTGTTGAACTCTCCTTTTGCTTGTAATGGTAAGAGTAGAGGTAAGGGTGAATTGCTATTTTGTTAGCAATGCAGAAAAATCATTCATGTACCAATGCAAAAAGTTTTCAATAACTCGGAAACGACAATGAGCATTCTTCAAATATTGCTAATCTTGTGATTTTTAAGATTTATTTTTATTTATTTGTGTTAAACTTTTACTCATCTTTCAACTATTTACAGTTAAAAAGACAGGAAGGGATTCTGGAACTCAAGAAAACATGTGCAGATAATCCTTTCCCTCATATGTCACATACACCTTTACTGTTTTTTTGACTGAATAAGTTTAAATCTGATTAAAATGTTTTTCCAGGTGTTTAAGATTCTCTAAATTACATATGGAATCTTTTGACATTTCATATTTTTGTACAGCTTTTGATAAATTTTTCATGTGAAAATAACCATCCCTATTACAAGTGCTCTCATCAATTGACAGTAAAAAACAAAACCAACAATAAAGTTTCACTTGAACTTCAATACCCATTAGCTATTTGCGTGAATACCATGAATTGAATTTTTTTGCACTTTTATCGCCAGCACAATGTACAACCATACTCAACATAAGCATAGATTGACCACTGTCCAAAATTTGTCTCTACTTCTACATCATAAAGACGAGAAAACGGTGTACATAGTAATTCATTCACTGTATGTTATAATATTAATGTAAAACCACCTTTAAATATAAATATCAAGTAGCTCTACAAATCCACATCATACTAATTAAAAAATAAATAAATATACCTCCTAAATTATAATCGGTTTCTCTACTAGTTAATTCGCCAACAAAACAGTAAACACACGTAGTACAGGGCTTGCACGGAAATGGAAATCAGTCTTCCATGTGGGCAGACGGCACGGACTGCTAGAAAACTCTTGAAATGGAAATATGACTCTTCTCATGATAATGGAATGTTTATTACACATTACCAGATGAATTATACGTACATCAAATTGAAATTGTAAGATTTTGTTGCAATTATGAAATGTATTAAACTAGTACACATTAATCAGGGTAGGCAGTCCCTACCTTGCCTACCCCAAGGAGTCTCTACTGCAGACTACTCATTCATTTTGAAATTTATGCAACAAGGATGTTCACTTTTACTTTATAAGAATTTAAATTCTCTGGATATCTTTAACAGTAATTGCATATATAACTTCGAATAAAAATAATTGAAATTAAAAATATTTTATTGTACAAGAATGCTATATTACAAGTATTAGTTACAAAACTTGTATCCGTATATTAGGAAGTCATTTATTCATTTACAAGTTAGTTAACAATTATGGTTTGCACATTACCTCCATATGTCATTTATAAATTAAGATTGATTCACTCATTAAAATTTAACTAAAATAAGGTAAGAAAAATGAGACTTTTATAAAAGGCCAATATTACTTAAAGTTTGTGGCACAATAAATTCTCACATACAGAAATTAATTTAAAAAGTTTCTAATGACAGGTACGCATGATTTATTTTACAATTAGTAAACTAAAACAAAAGGAGAGAAGATATTTTTTGTGTATGGGAAACATACCATATGAGAACCAATATATTTTAAAGAATTATTTTGCAAAGAAAACAAGAATTACTTACATAGTTAAACAGTTCTTGTTTACAGTCTCATGCAAAACTGACTACTCCAAATACTTAGCAGTACTTGTAGAGACAAGTCAAAACCATCATATAAAAAGAATTTAAGTGGAGGTATTCATTTCTCAGCACCAGGGGTATTTTAGTTCAAAAATGTGAAGTAAATATGCTGAAATAAACAAATGCCATTGGAGTAACAAATAAATTAAAAATAATGTAATTTTAAACATTTGATTTTGATATTTGTTTTTGGAAACTGAAAACTTATCAAATTAAAAATGAAAAACAATGCAATCCACACACTCTTAGAATCATTAAAATGATTGGACGAATTATTATAATTTCATGAATTTATTTAGAGAGAACTTAAGTGAAGTCATTTTAAATGGAACACTACATTAAACTACTGTAACTAGTTTTGACTTCATTACTTATCTTTCAAAACTGACTCAAAGAAAACATATCTTTATATACTAATAAGCTACATTAATTCTGTGCTGTTCAAATTGATTAAAATTTTATCAACTACGAAAACCCCTTAAAATGAATACCTCGCACTGCTGAGAAATATAAAAGGACAGACTGCTTTCTGGATGAGCTCAAGATGCTTTGTACTATATATCTATACACTAAAGGATCTACCAGATTTGATAGCAAGTTGTCAGGCACAGGGTTATTTTTTTCACCTTGTTGATTAATTAGGAGTATTACACAAGGCAGAGAAACCAGCCACCATTTGTTTAAAGGCAAACAATGTAAGAGAACCCAACACCAAAAAAATATTTTTGCAAAGTAGCAAAACAGTACTATGTAGCTCTTTGAACGTTGCTTTCACATCATCACAAATTAATACAAATAAACTCAATTATTTTAACATTTTGCTTATGCATGATTACTAAGAGGAATTAAGCTGGGAACAAAGCAAAGATAACTGCAAGTAAGTAATATGCACCCCTAATATGGTGACTGGATAAAGTAGATAGAGTGGTAACAGTGTTAAAATAAACACTTTACCACTAGAGCACTGACCACAATAACTAACCTGGTAAAAGTCTACCATAGATAATAATGAAATATTTATACAAACAGTCTTATTTAAAATTTCAAATGCTGACATCTCACAATTTGAAGTTCAATAGCAACATTCACTGAAGCCCTCCCAAGGTATTGCATACTTTTATTTATCTGGAGCCGATTCCTATTACAGCAAAAAATGCTGGCCCAATGCTACAACTTGTTTAGCACCACAATTACTCCTTGGCTATTTTTTTGTTTTTTTTGTTTTGTTTTTCATTCTTGGTTGTGTTTCTGGGACACTACCAAGCTAGGATAGCAATCTAATTATCACTGCTCATGAATGCATACACAAGTCAACAAACACACACTCAAATATGCACACACAGCTCTTACATCCTACTTCACATTTTGATTGACCACGTAATGTTATGTTCTTATTATAATAATTTTGAGCCTATGTCATAAAGAGAAACTTTGTGAAATCTTGCCTACTCACAAGCTCATTACACTAGCCCATCTTCACCATTAAAATTTCAAAAACAAATTGAAAAGTGCAATGCATTATGCTACATTCATGAATGAATAAGTTTATTTTGTTATTAAGCAAACAAATCTGCAGGGCAATTAATAAATGTATATTCAAAAGACAACAGTAAATCTAGCAAACACCTGATACAATCTCACTTTTGAAATTGCATGTTTTGAACATCTTTCAGATTTTAATCCATTTAATAAATTCAAAATTTAAAGCTCACTGGTGAGATACAAAAGATATTAAATGGAAAATACAACAGAAATAATTGAGAAAAGTAAATATGAAAATGTTTCTGTGATGAAATGAAGGAACTGGTCTTCATATCACATATTACATGAACACAAATTAAAGTTCGGGCTGAGGAAGAGGAGTATTGCTTTCTGGGCAATGATTAAGACATTTAATTATGTTCTAATGCCCCAAATACAATTTTTCTCTGTATTTTTGAAAGCCCTGCAAAATGAACAATATTCTGGATTATTTTCCCATTAACACAGTAAACATGAGAAAATCACCAATGTGAGCAGTATAGCTCACTAAGCGTACCACTAATTGCTGCTACTCCCAGCACTACCCAATTATTTACAAAACCCGCTACACTAGAAAAAATGTTGGCTTGAACTCATTTCTAGCAGCCGGGCATTGTGTCCAGTTGAAGAACAAACTGTTAATCTACACTCCTATTGCATTCCCATAGCTCCCCAATTTCTTGTATTAGATCTATTTCTATGCCTTATTATCAATGCATTATAATGCATCACTGGAATAATCTTGCAAAATCTCAAGCGGATATCTAGTAACTTTTAATATATTTTTATTATTTCAAAATAAAATATAAGTTACACTTCATTACTATTTTATAGAATATAAAACCTATATTATTGCCAAGGAAACATACTCTCAATACACATTTTTGGTGGGTAAAGCCTTTGGCTACATTCTAATTCCAGTTTCACTGAAATTTAACAAAAGGAAAATAAAATTTCAATTAAAAATAAATGATTTAACCCTTGATTTGATAAGGAAAACAAAGAATATTAATTTGCTACTTATATAAATACACAAACTTTACAACTTTACATTGACACCACATTCATCCTGCAGAGTTGTCCTCTACCACAACTGTGGCACAAAGCATAATTTCATAATTGACAATAGGCATGAATTGTTAAGATGGAATAGAAATTCCACAGTCAAAGGGAAAGCAAATCTGACACTGCCTAGCCCCATGCTCTAAAGGCACATCTCCACTACTTAACATATACACCAACATGTTAAATGTGAAATGTACATGTGAAGTATTGCAACATACTATATGTTGAATGTTACACTGTTTACATTGCATTCATTCTTGTTGACATGTCCGCAGATTTTAGTATATGAATTATGAGCTTTCTATTATGTTTAAATTTTCTGTAGTTATCAATTAAAATTACAATCACATTGGTGCTATTTTCTTTTCGATTGCATTTGAAAAACAGCTGAACATAACCACTACCTCCCATGAATGTGTCGTGCTTCCCCCCGCCCCTCTATTCCTAAATTCATTTCACATGTTCCATAAATTTGGGCATACCATCTTCAACTCCTAATTGTTTCTCTTGTTGACCATTTCATTTTACTTAAATATGGAAAACTCACACGAAATCGAAAGTACAGCTCTTGCCATAGAAATTTGCACAAGTTCAACCGCCCACACCTGAATGAAGTATTGCCTTCACACTATTTCCATTCTTACTGAAAAACTTCCAATATGTTAAAAATGTTTTCCAACATTTGCAGAATTATCATGTTAATCAGAAGAGATGTGACAAATGTACTCTAATATGCATATATGTAACATGGTATTGTACATTAAGTAGTGGAGATGCACCTTAATGGACTTCAGTTCAGTGGCAGGAATCTGCTGTTTCCAGCAGCTGCAGGCACTTGGAGGAATTACAGAAAACAGACAACAAAATTAACACCTCTTTCTTTTCTAGATTAAGTAATTTGCAAATTAAAAAAAAAATGAAATCCAGTGAGAAGCTCACTTAAAAAATGATTACCAGCAAAAATCATTCACTACATGATAGCATTTAGGGGCCTTAATTCCAAGTGCTCAGCACTTAGTTGAAAAGTTCAGGCATCCAAACAATGAAGTGAAAGTTGATACAGTCAATGACCAACCAAAACTGTCAGTCAACAAGTGACAGGCTATCACTAAGAGAAACCACCAGTATCTAAATGATTCAATTTCAAGTTATACAAAAAAATAACTTGGTTTAAGCAATATAGACCTCTTTAAAATATACATTATATAAAATAGAATCCACATGGAATGTCAAAGAGTAAATGAAGATGATGACCTATTCCCCTCAATATTTACCAAAAAAATTTAGTGAATCTTTGCCGCACATATTCCTTAGCTGGTTCATAATATTCCTGTCGCAATGTCACCATTTCTGGCCACTGGCGTACTGAGCTAAGCACCTCACAGTCAGACTCCAGAACTAGCACAGCACCAACTGCCAAGGACAAGGCCACAAACAGAAAGGATGGGACGAACACTTGCAAGAGATTGAAACGCCGGGGAGAACCAGAAGCTGGAGCAGGCCCAGGAGCGGCTGTTGCAGGCACCGGGGCCTGCAATGAAAGCTTGCTTGCTGCCCGGCCTCGGGATACAGGTGTCGACCGATGTGACAGGCCGCCACCACCACCGACACTAGGAGACAGATGTTGCACTCCTGGCTTGCCGCCAATTACAGTGTCCACGAGTTGAGATTCTGATGAGGAGTGGTCAAAGGAGTCCCGAAAGTAGTAGTCATCAAATCCATGGCTGGTTTCTCCAATTTTGGTGCCTAAGATGTAACAGAAAATAGATATCAAGTTTTATTATACAATAGGCACTCATATTTATTGTACAGCAAACTGACCATTTGTTGACAGGAACTAATTTGAAGTACAGTTATTGTTGCAATCATCATTAACTTTAAAAATACTGCAATAGTTGAACATTAAATAATGATTAGTAGTGCAAGCAAGTATGTTTCCAATTTTTTTCTCCTTTTAATTAATTCTCTTCATAATTTGGGATCACAGTTGTGATTTATGAACAATTATTAATGATACACTTTTTGTCACATGCGTACTACACTTTTTGACAGCTCAAATGTATGACACAAAGACAACTAATTTCCCATTCGCAATTCATTCATGTTATGAATAAATTTTATTTTCAGTTAATGCAAAAAATAAATTTTATAGTTAATGCTCATTGAGATTTTTGACAAAGAATTAATTGTAGTGCTTCAAATCATATTTTGTCTGAAGGCATAATGACTGCATATCTAATAGATTTACAATTCCTTCTATCAACATTTTGATAAAGACAAATCAATATTTTTCTAGAAATTTTATTGAAACCTTTTATTAACCAAATTCCTATGACATAGAAGTTTAAAAACATTTGCCCAACAATTCATCGACTTCAATAATATAGAGTTTATATTCAAGAATCTAAAATATTCCTGAACTTCTTATTAGCTTCAAGAATATTTTTATTTCGCCTGCCAGTATTAAATAGTAGAACCAGATTGCCGAGTGCTCAACATTTAAACACAAACTTCTTTTTCACTGACTTTTCAACATGCTGCTTGTTCTTCAAAAAAGGGCCTTCAATCTTCTAAGTACCTCTTTACTACCCTTGCTTCATTTTACCTTCAAGAATTGTGCATTGGAAAATTGGTCTTCTTCGATGCCAAATTGTCCAATGCAAGTCTACCAAACCAAACATAAGAAAATAATATCTTCCACAGACTGGAAACAAGATAATTTGCTCATCAAGCCATTTAACCTTGCGACTTGAGACTTCATGATATTGTGAGACCACAAAATTTAACCATACATACACATAAGCTATTTGCATAATATACAATTATTACTTGGAAAAGTATTTCAATCCTATATAAATAAGCACATTTAGAGCTTTCCAGCAACATTTTTTTTGCACATATTTATAAATTTGAAGGTTTTTGTTTATTTCAGCATATTTAACAATAAGATAAAAAAATACCAAATAAGAAAAAATTGCATAAATTTCAAACAGTTTTTGTTTTGTTACAGTCTTGGCATTTGTCGTATGCAGAATAATTTTAAAAATAAGAGAAAATACAAGAAGAAGAAAACAGACATGCTTGCTCCTTGGAATTGGAAATATTTGTTTGATTCTGATTTTCCACACAACAAGAAACTTTTCGTCATTGTTGTATCCTCAAAGAATAGATAGATTTAATTTCTAAACAGTTTCAACAGATGGAAACATGCTGAAATAGGAAGGAGTTTAAATAAAAAGATACTAAATGATTGGATAATCTTGATGAATAGAAAATGCCTATATTTTAACCGATGGAAAAGTCATGGTTTGTAATGCAATCTTATAGGAAATACATTTTCTCTAACATATCATGGCAGGCTTCATCATTAATTATAGGTTCTCATTTATCACCTATTCAGAGAAAATTTGCTTCACAGCACCTGTTGTCATCTGGCTTCTCAGTCTAAGTACACAATATATACCAAATAAAACTAAATAGCAAATAATTTCAAGCAAGATCAGTTTTGTTTACTCCCCCCTGACATTCCACTTCATAAATTGTTATTAGGGCATAGTCACTAGTACATAAAAAACAAATAAAAAAGGGTTGAATGTACTTAAATTAATTGGTTTTGGTACAATTTTTGTGCTTAACAAAGAAATATCATCTATAAAAAAGAAAAATGTTTTGAAAACATTTCTTTTTTTTGTTGTAATGTTTAATGTTTTAAACTAGTGAAATGAACATAATATCACAATTCAACATTTTAAATCACTTTGTATTGCTTTATAGAAAAAAAAAAATGTTCTCATTTTTTAACCCATATTTGAAGATATTAGTACATATTATTTCAAATATGTAAGACTTTTTTACTGCATATAAAACCACACTGTTTGATACTAAACTATAGATTAGTATAATGTTCAATCCAGTGTTTTTGAGATATTGTAATGATATATATAATACTTTCTTTCTTATAGTAACTCTATTAATGCAGCTGTATACAGATTATGAAGCAAGAGTTCAAATAATAGAAGGAAACACGAAGTGGTTAGTCAACAAAGGAATCAGACAAGTCTATCCAGGCCTGTTCAATTTATAAACGGAACATGTCACTAGAGAAGCAACTGGATGAAATGTACATTGGCGTAAGAATTGGAAGATGCTAAATAATTAATATTCATTATGCAAATGACATTATGATAATGGCAGAAAACAAGAAATAACTAGGTCAGCTATTACAGAAAGTGATAGAAGTAAGAAATCAGGTCTGAAGTTGAACTCAAAAAGATCATTGTAGTGACAGAAAAAGAGAATATAGATAAATGATGAGGAGATACAACATATAAAGTAAAATTTGGGTAGTAACTGAAACAAAAGATGGGTAATAACCAGAACGAAATAGAAAGAGTTATTTGGGGGAAGGTAGCCATATAAAAATATAATATATTTATCAAAGACTCGATTATCAATGAAGACCAAACTAAAACTAATAGAAACAGCGAAATTTCATTGTACAATAGGGCTCTGCATGTTGACTGTGGACAGGACAAAAATTGATGAGTTTTAAATGTATTGTTGGAGGAAATTTCTCCCAACCTTCCCCTTTTCTTGTAATCCTTCTTGTCTGAGCTCTTAATTCTTGTTAGTTTATTTGTTTTTGTTACTTGAGTAGTGTTCATTTTCGTTTTTCCACATTGGTTACAATTCATAATTTTATTATTTAAACTTTATTGGTAGAATTCTTTAATGCTTGGTTCTTCTATTACGTAGACAGTTGCATTTTTGTGTATCAATAGTTTACTTTCTGAAAAGAAATAGATCATGGTCACTATTTCACTACCTGAATTCACATATCTTTCACTTTCAATTTTGGAATTTCTTTGATAATTATAGTTTATGATAGACTTAGTATTTCTCCCTTCCCAAGTATGCGTCAAGTTGAGTCAAATGTTAGTTGGGCTGTTATATGTGCATAAATTTGTTAGTAATTTTTTTTCTTGTTCACTGTTTTTCCCTCTTTTGGTTCTATGTTGAATGATTTGTTTTATTGCCCATCCTGGCATTAAGATCTCCTCTTGTTATTAGTAAGTCTTCTGTGTTTATTTTAACTATATTATCTTGTAAATTTTTGTGTTATTGTTGTTTTGTGGATGCTGATTGACCCAAAAATTGACAGACAAGGGGGATGAAAAGAATGGTAGACTGTGTATACGTATGTTACATCAAGTATTGCTGTGTTTCAAGTTTTACAGTTCTTCCAAATTCATGTTGAAAATACATAACTGTAAATTTCTCTAAATTAAAAACAAAAGTTCTCTCAGGAAATCAAATTTATTTTGATCAAACATCAGGAAAAAGTAAAAAAATATATGTCTATTAGTTTCAAATATATAATACACTTGATTCACAGATCCTTTTCATGCATCTTGTACTTTCTTCTGTTTCTTTAATATCTTCTCCTGAAGGTGCTTACACTATTATTTTTGTTTTATGTGGCAACTTTCAGTCTTGATTTTGTTTTCCTTTCTGATATCCATTCATAGTTTAACATATATTAATTCTCAGGCCCCTTTTTTATGTTTTTAAATCACTACTCCTAAGTTGGCCTGGCCCTTTTCTTCCACTCCTGAATATATCATTAAATAGGGATTAATTTCTTTAAATCTCTTTCATTCCTTTTTGGTTTCTATTGTTATTGCTGTTTTTAAATTCCTTGGTTAATTCTCTTTATAGTGTTCCAAAAGCTTTCATTAGTTCATAAAATTTGGCTTCAACATATAATTTGTTTTCTTTACCCCCAGGGCAAATCTGGACCAAAATTATCATCACAGCATCACCTGCAGAATGTTAGTTTCAAAATCTACGCAGATCTTTCGTTAACAAATTCTTTGATTCAAGATAATCGTCAATCAATTTCAATAATTTACTATTTCCTCCATGATTTTAAACACCTTTGAAAGTGTAAGTACAAGGAAAAAAGGTCTATAATTATTAGGATTTCCATTGCTTTCTTTTTAGTAAACTGATATTTCCTTTGCTTCCATTTTAGTAACCTGATATTTCCTTTGCTTCCTTTTTAGTAAACTGATACTTTGACCACCATGAGTATCCTGAAAATAACCACTATCAAAAGACTGCTTAATTACACATGCAAGAACTTCCAACATCCAAAAGCTACTGTTCTCCACAATAAAAGTTCTTTGCAATAATAAATGATCTGTACATCTAGGAAATTGTCATTGTTTTCTGGTTTTTCCTTTTCTGTTAGATTTTTTAATGTTTTGGGGGCTGTTTCCCACTATTTGTCATTTCTTGGATTGGTTCAAATTTCTTATATTTTATTTGTATTTTTATTATGCATATGGTAAATATTAACAGTTCTTAATTGTGTCAATTATGTGAGAATGAGAGGAATTCAGAAACACCTAAAAACTACGTAAAATTGCAAACAACAATTTATAAGACTCTTTTTCTGGATTAACTGAAAAATTAATTGTTAACAAAAGGGTGATAATATTAACATCATTATCCTTCAATGTGCACAGAAAACTAACAGCTACAAGTCAAAAACAGAATGAAAAAGCTCAATTAAAGGTTGGAAACAATAAAAAAGTACACAAAATGTCATACTACCCCACTCTATTTCTACCAAAGTAGTTGAGCTTCAACAGCACACACTTTCTTACCATCTTTGTAACTTTTGCAATTTCCAAAAATTCAGAGAGTGCAATAAAATATCTGTGCCATTTTTCTAAGCAGCCTTTTCCATATGCAAGAGAAAAGTTCAAAGAAATGATTTGGAGCTGATTTGGAGGAGCCTTTTCTTTATCCAAGGAAAAAAATAATAAAAAAATAAATAAATTTTTAATAATACAAAATTGAAACCATTTTGGGGAAATTTGAAAAATGGAAAGTACCCCCAAAATCCAAAATATCAGTTTCAAATTTGCAGTCAAGAATTTGGCTCAAGAGATGATGAGTGTTGGCCACAGACAGATAAATCAGCCATGAACCAATTTTTTGGTATCCAGGACCCACAAAAGTGGTTCCGACTACACAACATATTAGAAAAAGTAATTTACTACATATTGAGGAAAGATTTATTCCCTTTTGCGAATCAGGGCCCCACATTATGAGTGTTAGTTGAAAAAGTAGCCACAGTATAGCAATATTTTCTCCTTACTACGTAAATGCAAAAATAATGTGTGAAAGTAGTGGTACTATAGAAAGGCACAGAATTTCTTTTACTAGTTTCTTTCCTATTCTCGTCAGTGGCACAAAGACTACCAGGGACTATCACTTTCCCCATGGCTTCTCTTGTGCTTAGCAAAGAGCACGTTCACACCCCCCAAACTTCACAATGACCAGTGTTGGATCTTTGCCACCTTTACATCTTTGCTTGAGATTTTTCTTTGGTCCCACATTGGTGCTTGTATCAATGTTTTGGGAGTGGGGTCCAGTTCCTCGATTAAATATACACATTGCACACAGCTGTCTCTCAGATCAACTGATTATGGAAGGAATATGATGCAGATGAAAAACACAAGGGTTTCAAAATGCCCCTCACATCTCAACTAATTCAAACGTTTATGTTTTATGTTACAACTCACAACATTAGTGCCCAAGTGAGAAAATAGTGTTTTATTAAAAATCATGTCATTTTTTAATATACACTTAATTTTTCAGTCCCCTGATAGCAGAATGGAAATAGGTTTTATCTGGAAATTATTATTGAAAAATTTCAAGACATTTCAGAAAATGTCATTTTAATGTTTCAGAACAAATATAATTTTTTCCTTTCTTTACAGAATACTTTCAGATACTTCATAAGAAATCGTTTAAAGTACTTGCACTCAACTGCTTTAATGTGTAAAAAATGCTGGGAAGGTAAACATCAACATAAGAGATATTTCAAACCTCAATACAATGTGACTTGTTTTTCAGTGCAGTTAATACTATCTGTACAACAAGCTACAAGAAAGCTACAATCTACACAAAGCGGGCGGGCGAGTCGGCAGACTATAAAGTAGTCTTTATTATGTTCTTATATGAAAAGTTAAAACGCTCAACCTTGAAAAACTAATGGAGATTTTTTTAATTTCTTGTATGCTACTTACATATTATAGATGATTGTTGACCCTGAATTTTTGAAAGTTGCAATAGGAAAAAATACTGCAAGAAAGTACCATTTGCTGTTATAGCACCATACTTGTGGTATTTTGAGTATTTCGAAGGTGAAAAATTGATATATAACTAATGACATTAATGACAAGTCTAACAACATTAAAAAATTAGAACTACATGATAATTTGCGACGTTGGATGTATAAATTGACGGCAACATGGACCAAGGATATTTTATAAGTAGGTCTACATAATTTGTAATATGAAAATGATCTAAAACAAACAAAATAATTTTGCCTTCTCCATAAAATGGAATATAATTAAACTGGGCTATTTCAGGACACAAGATATTATGCCATTCTATTATTCATAAGTCATTACAACTTTGACACAAAAGGTTTAAAGAAAAATGTATTTTCTAGCAAATATTATGAACTGTTAATACTAAATAGTTAATTCACAAAAAACTTTGTTCAACAAGTATCATATAAAAATTTAGTTAAAAAGAATTTTGAGTTTCATGTGATTATAAAAAGTTACAACACAGAAGTTAATGAATATATCTGCACATCTCAATTTATTAAAAGAATGCAGAAATCATTTGAATTCTCCATATTTTGAACAAGTTTTCCAATGTTTTGTAAAAACAAAACTATAGAAATTTTTCCTTATGCTATCAAGTACCTCTCAGGCTTTGTTGTGCGAGACAACCCTATCAAAAAATACCCGCAATAAGCTTCATTATTGTAACATCAGGACTTGGGATCCAAAAAAATTTGTTGGTTCTAGGAACAAATCTCATTTGTCCAAATCAATGAGCTCAATACCACACTGCATGTATTAGAACAACAGCTAAAAGTTGTACCTTGCATCATTCAAAATCATTATTTAGAATAAATACAAAAGTGTCCCAATCAACTTGCTCTCAACAATTTATTCATGTTTAAATTTAAAAAATTATTTTAATGGCTAATTTAAATTCTTAAATTACAAAATCATGGCAATGAAAATATAATATAAAAGTTAGAAAATATCAAAAGAGACCACTAAGAATTAGATATATACAAATTACTTTAACACAAAGCATCAGCTGTCTTTGGTGCAGCTAAAGAACAAACTAGAGGAACATTAACATCAAACTACTATTGACGGATTCAACAGACTTACCTGACATCAACCCATCAACTTCCTCTGTTAAGACTTCACTAGGGGCGTCAAGCAATGCATCGCCACACTCATGCTTTATAAAAGATTCCACCTCATCTGCCGCAGGAGAAATCAAAGAGAAAATACAACATTGCAACCAAATAAAACCTGAGGCTCCCTCCACAGACACATGCAACAGTTTGCACATTAGGTTAAAATAAAAAATAAAAGTGAACATGAACATGACAAGAATAAATGGCAGAAACAATATAATTGTATAGGTGACTGAAGGTTCAGAGGTATAAAAATTATTACAAATACATTACTAACTGAAAGCTAAACAAATGCTAAATAATAAATACTCCACTGCACAGAAAGTACTATGTAAAACAGACCTATAGACAACAATATTCCTAAACATTTACACCATGTTCAAATTTATGAAACCAGCAGTGTGATAACACAAACTTTCTAGGACACCCAACATGTGCTGCTAAACTAGAAAACATCTCTGCTGGCTCATTCCTCATATCAATGTTGAAGCTATTTTTTGCTACAGTATATACAAAGCTAATTTACATTAAAAGCACTGTGCTAACCTACAGCAGGACTTGCAACACACACAAAGCACACAGAAAGGTCATGAGGCTTGCCTTTTTGAAGATTTTGTCTCCTGGTTTATAAAGTTGTTATGTTTTATATAATTACTTACTCAATTATTATTTCATTTTTATCAGTGTTGTTGACTTGCAATATTTTAGAAAACTTTCCAATTTTTTCTTCATCTTTATTTTCTTTTCATTAAAGTCAGAAAAACACTACTCATATTCACAGAAATACCAGAATTCTCTTTTGAACATTGCTGTAAGTTAATTTTCAAAAGAATCAATTTATTTATTTATTTAAATGTTAATTTATTTATTTTGTCAATCAAAATTCCTGTATCCAACAAAGAAACTGCCAAATCAAAAGAATGGTCACCATCTATTCTTACGAATGAAATTCATTATGGAAAAAGAACTAGATCAGTAAATTGACATTAAAAACAGAAAAATGTTGTCAATTATACCTCTTTCATATAAAGAAAAATATTTGTTCGTGACTTGATACAGGGGTTATTTTTTTGATTTGGTACAGGACTGACTATATCAAAAGATATGCCAGGAGCTTTTAATAATGTATTCAACACAGTGCATTAAAGCTAATGGACCTGAAAGAGTACAAAGAAAGGTAATAAAATTACAAGGATCAATAATACAGGGCTGGTGTAAAAAAAATGGATCTTTCACATCATTATAAAAGAATAACTTTATCTACACTCTTTTTAATCTTTTTTAATTAAACATTATAAATTAAATTACGTATTTTTATAAATTAAAATATTATAAATAATTAATAAATTTTTTAATAAACATCAGCAATAAATCCACAAGCACAGACATAATAAAAAACAAAAACAAGAGTTTTCTTAGTCTATTACTTGAAATTTAAACACTCCTTAAGAAAGTTTATCTAGATCTCCTTCGTATCTACAATTTTATAACACTTTCAATGTTTCAACAAATTGGAAAAAGTTTAAACATTTTTCAAAATATTCAACTTCCTTTTATGCAAATGTGCCGTTACATAGAAAACAAAACTTTAAATCAAAACCATTCACTACTTGTTGTAATAATCCTATAAATTCTTACAATTACACAAAATACATTTTCAAAATTCACCAGGAGCTGTTTGAGGCAAGAAGTCACATCAAAAATGAGAAGGAGAGCATGTATAGCAAGGGAAAGAACAGCACAGGGACAACAACATAAAACAACATCAACCACATCAATACCAATAAAATGCTCTAAAAATTATTTAAAAAAAAAAAAAAAAAAAAAAAAAAAAATCTTACCTCTTAACTTGGCTGCTATCTCCTGGTCTTCAGCCACTGGCTCTAAAAGAGGCAGTGTGTTGTCAGGGCAATAAGGAGATGAAAGTGGTCCAGAATCCAATAAAAGAGCTCCACTGGCATCATGTAAGCGCGAGTCAGACATAGGAGTAGAATGATTTGCACGAGGCAAACTTCCATACCCTGTAACAAAAGCTCATCAATTTCATATGCCAAGATGAAACACTGAACAATTCCTCTAACAAAATGCAAACAAATTATACTCATAAGAATCACATAACAATTTATGCAAAAACTTGATGTAATAACACGAATCTGTACACTACATTCTAGAAGCAATATATTCACCCACAAATCAAATGATAAAGCAAATTTGCAGCTACTGAGTTCGTTGGCAATCCCATTTATTTGAACAGTAGAGCTTACAGAAAGTAGAAGGGTTCCCTTACTAATCTCACCCAGTTCTGAGCCCACGGGTGTGGAAGGTGTGGCAGGCACGGAGGCAGCCTTCCGGCGCAAGCTGGAGGACCGCAGAGAACGGTTGATGGCAGGCTCCTCCTTGCGCAGAGGACTGCTATCCTCCAGAATTTCCTTCTCCACCCGGCCTGAGTAGCGGAACTTGGTGCCCCAGGAAAAAAAGCTCCCCCCAGTCACGACAGTAGGAGCATCCGAACTGGAGGGCAACCTAAGGTAATGGACAGGGTTTCTTCAGGTGCATGCTACTCAGGAGCTCCAACCAACTAGTAGCTTATTTTAAAATCCTTACCAAGAAACCAAAACAATGAAATCATTCACAAGATGAAATGTGTACGTTGTTTTGTGAAATGGTTTTGGAATGTATGTAGTGGTATTTATAAGATAATAATATTCAAGTGTTTCTGGACTCATTTCCGACAAATTATTTTGCATGAAGGATTTATAATTCCTGATGAAGACTCCTTGAGCCAATACTAAACCCAAAAATTATTTCTTATGTTGACGGCCCATTTGCTGTCAACTGAGGACTGTGTACAAACTCTTTATAATTATGTTGTACTCGTGTTAGATGTGTGTGCGTCTGTGCGTCCTTCTTCGTTTTTGGCTGTTGAACTTAAAGGGACATTAATCTAGGTTAGAGTAGAAATTTAAATAACAGACAGAAATATATCGTTTAATATAGTTCTTTAAATGATCGAAGGAAACACATACTTATTATAGTCATCATAAAACATCATTAACACTACTCACGCACGCACGCGCGCGCGCACACACACACACACACACACACACACACACACACACACACACACACACCCTTACACACACACACACCCTTACACACACACACACCCTTACACACACACACACACACACACACACACACACACACACACACACACACACTCACCCCCCCCACACACACACACACACAAATACACATTCATATGCACATATTCATCCTACCATTAAGCATCATCTCAACCTGCAATTACCGATCCCCCCATAATTCAAAATCGAGAAGAATCACTAAACAATATTAAGAAATGGAAAGAAATGGAAATTATTCTTGAATTTTACATCTGATTGTGAGACAAATTTCTTCTTTGTTTCAAAGAAACACAGAAATTATGGATTCTAAGGCAATTTTTCTTGATCATAACTATTTTATTTTAATCCGTAAGTTTCTGTTTGTTTTTTCTGCTTTCCCTTTTCATTACTAAAGATAAAAATACTCTGCTTTCTAGATAATATTGCCATTATTTAAATGAAGTTCCACATTAGAAGCTGGATTGGTACGATTGCATAAAAATCTCAATGTTTATACTTATCCCAAGTAGCATAATCTAAGCTCTTTAAATAACAATTCAAATTTTTGAACATTAATTCTCTCATTTATTTCATCAGTGAACAGATTTTTTGTCTGTTCCCAAGAACAGTACCAACCAGAATCTAATGAAATAATATATTTTATCTAAAACCTCAAGTTGGAAAGTGAAACAACATACCCTACACATTTAATTTTAAAGAAAATGCATTTGATCAATAACCAAAGAAGAACCATCAGTTTACCTACTATATTTACAAACACTCACGTGAAAAAAAGCATCTGCTCAATTGCACAACGCCATACATGTCTGCAGGCTGCACCTGTCGGGCACTTGAAGCCTACAGTATGTTTCTTCTGTAGGTCAGAAAAAGTTTGTTAGTGTTACTAAATCACTCATCCAATCGTGAATTAAATCCTCACCAATCTATCTGTAGGCAAATTCAGGCAAAAGCAAATTTCCTGGGTTTTAACAGCACACACAAAGCTCACAAACTACACAATGCATAATATCTCCATGAATGCTACAATGTAAGCTACTTTCAATAATTTCATTATACAAACTGACACACTCCTTGAAATTTTATATATTATATATAATTTTTTCTACAATGGTTTGAAGAAATTACATTTAGGTAATTATCTCTACTTTCATTTCATACACCTCACTGAAATCATGCATTTGCAAATTTCGAACATCTTTGTACCTTCGTTCTGGGGTCCTGGTGAGGGCAGCAAGGAAAGCAAAAACAAGTTAGTGTCATAATAATATTTGGCAAGTTCGTGCAAAATTAATTAAATGCAAATCCAGTTACACGTGAAGACAAAGATACAAAAAACATCAGCTAAATCAGATTTGAAATGCTGAATAAAGAAATAAATACTCTATGAAACTCAAAATCAATTTTAGTTATAATATTTTGCTTATCAGAAGTGAAATTAAAGCTTCATTCTTCCAGGCTTAACACTACAAAAGCCATAACACATCTCAGGAGCAATTCAATTTTCACTCCACACACCAAGCTGCAAATCATTAAGAAAATACTCTACCTAGTCAACCTATTTGTGCCACCAACATACTGTTTTTATCAGGAAACACCAGAATTAACAGTGCTTCAAACCCGCTGGGCCTCCCTAAATTAAAAAAAAACTATCCACAATCTCATAATCAAAAAGACACAAGAGGTACAGGCATCTCTATACTTCAGTCTCATTGAATTTCTTGAGAGTCTGTCAGTAACCACATGGGCCACATCCACCAAGTAGGTTTTATTGAAAACAATTCAAAGCTGAATAAAACAATGTTAGATTAACTTTAGAAGAAAATTACAAGTGTACACAGGCCTGCCTGTACAATGATTTGAAAATAATATCTTATGATTACATGTGTACCCACACATACATTTGTACTCACTCATACACATGCATGCACAAGCACTTATATGAACCAGCACACACCTACACACATACACACACACATGCGTGCATGCACGTACACAAATACAAATGTATCCACATGAAGATTTACAAACTTCTCCCATTTCTCTAGCTCACATAAAACAAAAGGCAGTTTCATATATTTCAAATAAAAACTACTGTCAATCTGACATCTATCAAATATTAAAACGTGGACACCAACATTCTTAATCAGAAGCTCAAGAATTCAATCAGGCTGAGGCAAGAGAGGCTCTTTTAGCAACTATGGCACAAGAAGTTGGTCATTGCGCACCTCGTTATAGGTAAGATGCACGATGAACATCTTGCCTTCATAGTTAATTTTCTGCACCTCATTCCATTTAAAATGATTGGTTTTGCGACTGCCCTGGAAGGTTAGGATTCCACAGTGATTGATGCCAAGATATAGCTGACTACCACGATGATCCTAAGAAAAAAGAAAACACAAAGTCAGTACTCGAGAGATAAAAATAATAAGAATTTATTTTAGGGCTTATTCAGTTTTTTTGCAACTCATGTGCAAAATAAGTATGAAAAGGAAGTCTTAATTATTTAAACCATTAATGCACTGAATCCATTTTAAAAAATAATCCAAATTTTTTTATTTAAAAAGAGTATCTACGAAAGATGTACTGATACACATTTACAAAGGTTTCTGTAACTCGAGAGATGCAATGCACAATCTTTTTTCTTCCCCGAAATTTTTCATTACTTAATACTGATGTCCCTCATGATTATCATCAATAATGCATTTTAATAAATTTCAAAGGGTAAAATTTCAGACTGCCACTGCTAATAAACATAGTGACACCCGTTTATCAAGCATCTACCAAACATCTATTTAAGGATTTTCTCTTATCCAGAGAGTCACAAGTATTTTGACAAATCCTTGAATGCTTAAAAGTACCTGAAAGTTGACCACCGCAACAAAAATTATAGAAGTGATTAACCTCTTATGAAACTTCAATTGGATGCATTACTTTTGATAATAAGATACTTTGTGAGAATTTCAAACATCTGTTTCATAATCAAAATCAGCAATCATAACAATTCAGATCGTTTTTCTTAATAAAGAATGACTTTCTAATGTAGAAGTAGTAACATTACTCGGACAAAACATTTGAACAAAAAAGAGTTAAGGGGATTCAAAAAATGAATTAGATATAGTTTTTCAATGTCCAATACATCATATATTTTTTTCATAAATTAGATTTTGACGGTTCAAAGAAATGACAGACCCAGCCAAGAATCAATGCAGGATCTTCCAGTATACACCCAGTTGTTCCAACCACTTGAGCTACAGAGTCAGTTAAACAATTATATGGCAATATCACGAAACCCAGGTTTGATTCCCCGCTGGGGCAGGCAATTCTATGTACAATCAAAACATTATTTGAAATAATTACCTCAAGCTTAGTAGTTATTGGGTTACAACAGTAGTTGACAATTGCAAAATGGGTGGTGAAATGTATAGAATATCTGTCATAGGTTTTAATCTCCATAAGGCTGTTCGAAGAGTTGACTGTCTCAGTAGCTCAAGTAGTTAGAGCAACTGGGCGTATACCGGGAGATCAGAGTTTGATTCCTGGTGGGGGCAATTAATTCTTTGAACAGTCAAAACAAAATTTGTAACAATTACATCAGGCTTAGTAGCTATGGGGTTGCAACGGTAGTAGATAATTGCAAAATGGGATACTTATTCCCATATAATTGTTAAACTTCTAACTTATCAAGATTAACTAATTTTTTTTGCAACTAAAAGGATGTTTCTTCAGAAAGAATTAACACATCTATCATGGACAAAACAATTTCAGAGAATTTTAATTTTGTGGCCAGTAAGTAAGTATATTTTAAAGAGAACAACTATACACCTTGACAGGGTGTGGATCTACACCATATGTATCAAGCTGACAAGCTTTCCTTAAAAAGCTGGTTTCTGTTTGTCCAGGAGTTTGCCCCTTCATCTGTGTTTGGTGAAGTTCTGCTATCTTCTGCTCAATGTCAGAGGTCTGTTTGAGAAGTAACTTGAATTCAGAAACATAACCCTCGCCATGCTCCTCGGGATCATAATCTCCAAGCTCAGCTACACAGAAAATACAGAAAAATGAAATTAAAAAAACTCCATTGTAAGAAAGTAAGATTCAAAAGAGTACTGCAGTTACAGAGTATCATTTATTTAACCAGTAAAAGAGCAAGAAAAACAAGCTAATAAGAGACTTATACTTTCCACAAATATCCAAGAAAATTTATAAGAAAGAAAAAGAAAAGAACAAACTCCAAAATTAAAATTGTACATGATAACTCACTTTAAAAAACATGTGAAATTATTAAAACATTTTCAGTAATTCTGAAAATTGGTGTTTACAAGACAAGATAAACCTTCAAATTGTGAGGACAAACAATGCAAAGATTTCACAAACTATCTACTTGCACCCCACTAAATCTAACAACTACATTGTATACACAATAGTACTTAATTTTTTGTCTATCACAAGTACAGCGTTCCTGAAGTTTACACAGCACATTTACCTTGAATGATATATGCAGCGAGTAGTGCTGCTTCAGCTGCAGTACAATAGAGACGCCCATGAAGCAAATCTCTCTTTAGCTGTAGATAAATCTGGTATCGTGTAATTTCTTCCTTGAGGCGGAAAGGGTCAGGTGGGTAAAATTTGACTCTGAAGCTGAAGAGAATTGGATCCATATCTGCATCACAACAACTTCGATCAATATTAAGATTGCACCCCAAAAAATGAATATATATGACCAATAACAAGACATATATGATGAAATTTCTACAATAAATTTCAATACGACAATCAATTGTAAAATATAACAAATAAAATGTGCAAAATGTTATATAGTAGTCAATAACAGAAAAAGAAAGGATTTGAACTGCACTGAACATTCAATAATTCACATAGATGAAAGTACTACTCTATATGACTAACAATACAAGCCAGAAACACACAAATCACAGAACTTAAAATTTGAAATGTACATATTGAAAAGCCACAGTGTAATCAACAAATACAATAACTAAACATTGCAGTAATACAATAATTAAACATTACAGTATTTAGCTAGATTCTACCTTAAACATAGAGCACACAAACCTTTCACTTGTTTGAGAACAGTTTTAGCTGGGTCCAGCCAATGCTGAAAAAACAACCACACACTCATGAATTGCGTAAGCAGACATCACACACTGACTTGAGGCATCCTCTTGTTAATGCTAGCACAAACACCAGAAACTGTGCCAATACAGGAGGTAACCCAAAGATTAAGTCCTATTAATGTAAGTCTGTGCAAACGCAAAAAAGGGTGCATGCTATAGAACATTATTCAAGTCAGACTGGGAAGTCGCAGACCTGAATCTGAATTATAAAATGCTGATCTCTCTTAAATGTTTTTGAATATTCCTAAGCGTATGTCTATGCCCAAATCAAATTCAATAATTGCCACAGAAAAACAATCATCACAAGTCCAATAACATCACTTCCAACAATGCCCCAAGCACTAGAAACAGGCAGAACAAAGCTTTCCCATCACCATCACTATGATCACACATGCATTATCATCATTTTAATAAGCACTTCTCACAAAACAAAATTTAATCTCAAACAACGACAATATTCACAAACATATTTCGCACTATTGTAAAGTTACCCAAGGGTTACAAGCACAAAATGGAGAAAACTTCTAGAGATACAATCTGCAATATACTCAAATCTAACAATTTTTTTTCTTTCAAACTTGAACACAACTGAAAAGGAAGATGCAGAACAAACGTTCTATGAAAAATGTGAAGAAAAAAAAAATTCAATATATTCTGTGTAATTGACCTATTTTAAGGTAGTAAATTTTTACAATTGGTTCTTTCTTTTACAAATTTCATTTGATATTGATTCAATTCAGAAATCTCTTGTGAGACTCTATATTTGTAAGTGCATCCTTTCCAATTTCAAAGAAATTAATTATTCCAAGTAATGAGTTCACTATTCAACTGTGTATTTTTTCTATTCTAAATGGAAGTTAACATACACACTTTCCTTTTATCTGCCACTATTACATTTTCTACTTCTATTTCCCAGCTAGTACCTTCAGTTTTAATTTCGACCTTCAAAGTATATGGAGTTGTTAGTGGAGTTAAAAGAATTTATCTTTTAGGGTAATAGAAGGAAACAACAATGTACTCACAAGTAACTACAAACTATCCCTTACTACATTTATTTTGAAAATTACTCACATTTTACATAATTGCTATTTTTTAAAAATTTTAGTTCATCACAAGGAACATCAAAGTTCAGATAATAATCAGAAAGGTTATGGAATATTTATATAATAACACAGAAGTAACTTGCGTACTCACACGTTGTCGTGCAATATCCACATACCGAAGACCGAAGTGATCTCTCTCAGCTAAGTTTAATTGTTGGCAGACTTGCTCTAGCAAATACTTTCCTTTATGATGACACTAAAACATGGATAAACCAAAAAATCACTAATATTGTATACATGATATATATTAACACGTACATACACACACTTTTAATTCTTTGTCCACGTAAAGCTGCAAAAGATTAACAATTAGAATGAGGTTTTTTATTTACCAGTGAATAAATTTACAGAACCAAAGAATCCGTTTAAAGGCTTTTCATAAAATGGAGCATTAATTTAATTTAGAACTTCAAATTTATGAACAATTATTATTTTCAATTCCAAAATTATCGAGGTAGAAAAAATACAATGATCTTCGATTAGATTTTAAAATGTTTTCAGTTCTCATGAAGAAATTCTTGTCACAAACCCTCTAAGGATATTTATAATTAAAGAAGTAAAATTGCTAATCAATAAATTACTGAAAAAGGTAGTTTATGCAGGTTTTTATTAGTTTCTTAGAAAATGGCTTCTACCATCAACTGAAGAGAAATCAGTTTCAAGTTTGAAACGATTTTTTGCTCACTATCACTCTCTCAACTTGTATTATTAAATTTCGACATTCTAGCAAGATGGAGAACGTAAAACTTGAGGAAGAAAATCATTGGGTGTAGTTTTCGCAGTAATGGATGCTGATTAAATACTCCAAGATGCCTACATTACGAAATATTATAATTAGTATTACAAAAACCATAAGAAACTGCAGTTTCTGGCAAAGAGTGTAAAAAGATGAGACAGGGAGGGGATACTAGGGATTCTCCCCATCCCAAAAATTTTCATGTCCTCCACTTCATCTTAACCAAAAATATTTAATTTAATCTGCAAGCCGAAGGTGGAGATGTTGAATGTGGGAATATAAAAATCCACATGGATCAACTTCATACCGGTTAATTCATAAGCAAACTAAGCACTTATTTTGAACCCCCTACAGGATAAATTTCCAAACAACATTTTATTGTAGTCAATACATATGTAAAAGTAACATTTTAACTATTTTATTAACACTACACAAAAATGAATTAAATTCAGATTTTAAAAAAATTAATAATTCCCTTCTAAAAAATTATAACATGTAAATAAATAGTACTAAAAAATATATTTCTATGTATATGTTATACTATTATTTTAATATTAAATTTGAAAAGTTATCGTTTCATTTTCTAATAAATGTTCATTGTTTATGATTAGGATTTCGAAATGATTGAGATCCATCGTTTGGTCTGGCTTAAGGCGCCTTCAAGATATTAATCAGAAGCAATAGGAGCCCTGGGCCCCGCGTGTTGGTGACACTCGGCGACATGCACTCTCGGTCGCGTATAGCGACCACGAGTGCCCTCCCACGTGGTGGCAGCATGGCCCCAGAAGCTGGAAATCGATCGGTTTCCCTGGCACAGGAGAGCAAGGCCAGGTCGATAAGGGAATCATCAAACTTGCATGCAGACGTGGAAAATGCTTCCCGAGAAGGAACCGCAGAGAGGGAATACGATCAATGGGAGGTTGCGAGCAACCTCACATTCGGATCGGACCACACACAACCCAGGAGCGGGTGGCGGGGTGCTTGTCACTTTTCCGTCGCTCTGCGAGTATTGATTAGCATGCCGCAGGCGGGCCCAAGGATCGAGGGGGACCAGCCTCCGGAGGGATTCCGACTGACCTACATCCTATTCGCCGAGCCCCCCTCCTGAGATAGTCTAGGATGGTCAGCTTCTGTCCGATGCACACTGCCCCTTGCATTGCCCGCCCCGCCCACCCCCGCCGGAACCCGCCCAAGTCGTGTCGCCAAGAAGCGGCGTTGATCTTTCGACAGTCACACTGTCTCCGTTTCCTAAGCGTCTCATTACATTGTATAAACAGACGTGGGAACTTTATACTGCAACACGAATATAACGATGACGCGGCGTAGGTATGCGCCGTTGAGCGACCTCGGGTCGCCGACTTGGGCTCTGCTGAGGAAACGCGCTCTCGCCGCCTGGAAGCCCATGAACACTCTCGGTTTTACGTAACGCGATGCCCCGGTGACCCCGTGTTTCCACGAGCCGTCCCACATACGCGATGCGAGGTCTCTCGTAATTGAAAGCACAACATGAAACAAGGCTCCTCTCGTGAAGCATGATTCGGCTTGTAGGCAGGTGGCCAACAATAACGCTGGTTAAAGCTCTCGGCACAACTCAAAATTTTCAATAATTAATACATTGACTATTCATTTTAAATGTAATACATGCGTAGTAACTTATTTGACAAATAATAAAAAGCATTTAATTATCTCCAAACAACACATCAAACTGATGATTTATACATCTTTTACGAAGACATTCAAAACGTTTCCCAGCTTTAAAGAGCTCTTTCTTATCGGAGCGAATTCAAAAAATTGCACAAAAAACAAAAATGTTAACACTAAGCGATGCTCAATCACATATATGTCGAAATCCTAAAATATGAGATCATATAACCCCTCATTTGGAGAGGTTATGTTTAAGTCTATTGTGTCTTAAGTTGATTCGTTGTCACTTCCTTACTGACGCAAATAAACACATAACATAAGAGAATTTATATCTAATGCAAAACGTTAAATAATATTAATTCTACAGCCTTACTTGAAATTCGCACTCCACGATTTCAGTATCTTCTAGTAAACGCACAGTACATTTATAAACAACATTAATGTCACTTTTGCTTCCGAACTTTAACATCGTTGAACCTCAAGCTCATGAGATGCAAATGTTAATTTTCCACGTTTCAAAACAGCACTGTATTCTGACACAAACTCCCACACCAAACACTTGACAGCAACACTTGCAGGTCACAAGGAACGGTTAAGGAAGGAACACAAGGAACGTTGGTCATGAACCATTCATTACTCCAAAAAATAAGTATATTCTGTCATATTCAGAAATGACAACTTGCAAAGGAAGCATAACCCTTAAACTCGGAATGTGTCAGACACATAACTGCAGCATTTGAAGCTGAAAAGTTCAGACTTATGGTCCAAAATAGCACATTACATTGATCACGATAAAACTGCCGGAGGAGCTTCTCATGATACCGTCCTGCCAGTGGGAACGAACCGGGTATGAGAAATTCATGCTTCAAACAGTATTTCCACAGAGCTTTGGCAAATATTTGTGCGCGACTATAAACACTTTATTTTACTTAATTTCACAGCATTACCAAGTAAATAAATATTATTATGTTTTTAAATATAAAAACTGATACATTATAGAAAGATTCGTCTCTAATAAGTTGACGCACCGAACGCACAATTTCTCATAGCCACCCAGCTATCAATTAACAAAGGGTGCCGAACAGGCGGTTTTAGATTCAAACATGGCAGCGGCGACGAGTGTTGTTGTTCTTGACAGAGGAAATAACACAACGTGCACCATAAATCTGCACGGTGAGTAACATTTTCTCTGCTCTAGTTTGTATATAATTGTGAATACTTTATTATTCCATTAATTATATCAAAATTTAAGGTCATATTTTTCATAAAATAATAAAAGTTAGTGACAAGTTTTAGCAGTCATGCCCTAGTGCATGAGGCGCCTCGCTTTAGTTTTCATACAACCGATGCTCGGATTTTTTATGTTTTGACCGTCCTCGAGGGATATTTCAAGTGAAAAATATGTTTTTCAGGTGCCACCGTTGTTTCATGGCGTGTCAATAACCAGGAACAATTATTTGTGAGGTAAGTCTATTGTATAATGCTACAATCTCTGCATGTTTAAGTACATTTATGTTTCTTGTTGTGGCACGGCAATCCTCCGTCTCTTAGCCCGCAGCATTTGAGTTGAGCGTACAGTCTTAAAACTGATTTTTTTATCACCCCTGCATATTTTTTGTTCATGATTCAGAAAATATCTAAAACAGTGTAGATTATACACATCACTTAATCATATTATATTGCAAGTGGTTGTAAAATACTTAGTAGCATGAAATTTTAACATTTTATTATTTTCATTACGTAGATTTTCTTGTGGCAATTGATTAAATTCAAGGTTTCGAAATAAATGAAGGAAGTAGATTCTATGTCATCTGGTTGACCGCATAGATCTCGACCCCCGTTAGCATTTTTTTCTTGGTCTGGGAGCCTGAAACGAGTCCCCTTCACAGGGTGAACCATCTCCTTCCTCTTTGGGTCGGGGATGGTGGGATCGTGCATCCGGGGGTACAGCTGCGCCTGGAAGCTTTGGGGGCCCTCGTCGCGCCCTTCCCCCTCCATTCCACCGTCTGGGGGTGGGTCACCCGCCCGAGCAGCCCAGCCCCTACCGTCTTGGCAGAGTGCCTGGGCTGCGATATCTCACCCCTTAATGATGTCCTGAGCTATAGTCGGGCAACTGTAGCGAGCGCCGCTGACCTTGCGCTCCCTGTCCGGCGACAGCCGCGGGTCGTAACAGCGCAAATGAACCGCGGGCGTCAGCCG